CTGCTCTGGGCTACTGTAGAAACCTCAGTGTTTTTAAATGTAAATTCTGCCGCCACTGGCTTCAGTTAATCTGTGAAAAGCAGCTTGTAAAACTTTGGACAGAATAAGAGCTGACCTGATGTGATAGATTAACTGTGATGAAGCGACTCTCCGCAACCAAACTGGAGCACAGGATGTGATTTATGAAGTGAGACATGCACCAAAAACTCACTGCCAGACCATCATTTTATAATCTGTCACTGAGAAATATAGATATAAAATCTCAAATATTCCCTTTCCATAATTTCTGACCACAGAGGTCATTCACACAGGTTTGATAAATTCAGACTTACACGTGTGTTGTTCTTCCTCTGATAATCTCCAGGTTCTCAAACACTGAAAGAGAGGTCAGATTCTCCGGCCAGTACTGGATCATCAGGAAACCTGGACCACACACACACACACATACACTTACTGTTGTATCTGCTGTTCACTGAGATCAACTATCATTTGAACTGACAGGCCAGTCACTGGTACTGTATTAGCAATCAGTTCTCACAATGGTGGATAGAGATGACCTTTGACCTACCTGTGATTTCCTTCACCGTCCTGAAGTACTCCAGTTTAGCCGGGTCCATGGGGGGGATTTTGTAGTGCGCGTCCCTGGAAGAGCAAATGAAAAACAAATTAAAGGCCATTGCACACCAAGTCCGTATTTTTCATCCACAATTGACGCACATTTAAAAATAAATACGACAGCCTTACATTGTGTCAATCATGTTACACACTGACTGCAAAACCTTTATTAAAGTTAAAAAAAAATTCCGCAGCAGTCAGTCTGTGTCAATTTTAATCCAGAAGACACAGATCTCTTCTTTTATTGGCCTTCACTTATTGTATAGTGTAAAATGTGTCACAGCAGCTTTTAGACACTTTTACAGCGCTTATTTCACCCAAAAGGGGACGAAGTTGTTCTGATGACATAACTGGACATATGCCTGCTCTCATCTATTGCACTCTGAAACTGGGGGCGCCAAATCGCAAAAAAATACCAAATCTTACATGTTGCTTTCAAGTGAGACAGAAAGAGTTTCTCACCCAGTAAAGGAGGTTTCAATGAGGTAGATGTCCCCGTTGATCTTCGTGCAGTTCCTGAAGGATTCGATGTTGGAGGCGTTGACGGCTATGGTGTTGATCAGAGCGCCAACCCCGACTCCGTCACAGGCTGCAGGGAGAGAAAGACTCTGTCAGGTCATTTGTTTAGTATTCAGGTCTCTCTCTATCTTCCTCTCTCTACCTTTAGGACAGGGCCCGTCGCAGGCTTTGCAGCGTTGGACCCCGTTTTCCTCCACCTCGTACATTCCAGCGCTGCAGGTGCGTACACATGATCCACCTGTCACCACGTAGTTATCTATATTTGTTTTCAAGTACAAAGCAGAATTGTATTAGTTTAAACCAAAAGTTAAAAAAAAGAACTGCACTATACTTGCAGTATAGCTCATATGCTCATATATTATTTTCCTTGTCAAAAATTCGCACCAACGCTTCCTCAGCTAAAGCATTCAAATGTTATTTTAGAATGAATTACTGGGCAGATCTCAATAAAACAGAGGGTTTATGGTCCATACGTGGGCAGGCCTTGACGCAGGTTGCTCCGAAAGTGAACTTGGCTTTGGGATTGTTGACCACCTGGTGGGTTTTGGGGTCGTAGATTGTCAGAGCAGGACAAGCGTCTTTACAGGTTCCGTCATCATTAAAATCTCTGCAGGCCTGGAGAGCAGAGAGACAGTTGATTTAGTCTTTGAAACCAACTTTATTTATATGAATAGTGGATAACAAATGAAGCATAACTCAACCACAAACATTTACTGTTATGGACGGACTCTGGACACTGATTTTTTGAAGGTAGCTGACCTTTTTAAAAACTGTATTGGGATAATGTGGTAGTGCTGTAGCACACAAACTGACCAGGCAATCGGTGGCTCGAGGTCCGGTGCAGCCAGCAGCACAGTGTTCATTACAACAGTCGATGGGTTTTGGACCCCGACACCTTCTGCTGCACTGCTCGGCACACTGCAGCTTGGTGACTGGTAGAGACACAGAGAGGCAGTGCAGCTCATCAACAAGAATGATAAGAATGTTTATTTATTGTTGTTCTGATTTGGGCCACTTTCATACGAGATCCTAAATCACATACAGGTCAGATTTTTTATGTCACAAACAGATCTGAGCAGGGTTTTTTTCTTGACAAAATGGGGGTCATCGTTTATGAGCTGTTCATTAGCTGTTCTTATCACAGCCGGTTTTTTCACTCTCTAAACAGACCTTTTTCACAGCAGCCATTTTGACGTGAAGCAGTAGAGTAAACACAGGTGTTATCAATAAAATGAACAAAGGCTCTGTTCCATTTAGTGTAGCGGAGCTTTTACAGTCACCTGGATGGAACAGAACCTTAAACAATAATGCCTGTTTACCCTACTGTTTCATGTTAAAATGGCTGTTGTGAAAAAGGTAAAATGACTACAGCTTTTCCTCTGGCAGTTAATTTGGCCACAGCACAGGATAAACTGCACCTAAAATGTTCCAGGACAACACAGATTATTTCCAGGATATTTGGTTATTTTATTCAATTTCAGGGCGTTTCCATGACTGGAAAACTAGTCTCTAAATTTCCAGGTTTTCCAGGACATGTGCGAACCCTGTAATAGATCAGAATTGAGCGCCTGCAGTTTGAAGATCAATACATGAAAGAGTTTGAAATGTGTGGCAGTGATTGATGAGATGTGTATTTGAGCGAGTGTGTGTTTACATCTCTGGCAGTGCTCCGGTCCTGCTGCCCAACACGAACCATTAACACACCCCGGATCACACTTCTCACCTGGAAACACACACATACACACACACACACACACTCATTAATATATTCAGCAGATCACAGCCTCCTCAGTAAACTTCATCTTTATTCTACATACATTTATGTGTTGTTACGTTTTCCATCTTGAAAAGCATGCTGGGATTGCTGTCTTTGTCCAGGATGTCCCACCACTGGATGGTCTCAGTGTTACACAGCAAGGGATTGTGGGTCATCTTTACCCCTCCTTTCAGGATCTCTGTGAGAAGAAGATGATGGAGACACATACTGATTGATACAGTTTACAGAGTTCAAGAAATAAGTCATCGAGTCAATGAATTCCACGTCACAGTCCAGCTCTAAGTCAGTGAATAATCCTCGTGAAAAGCCAGTGTTTGTCTGTTCATTGCGGACTCCACCAGTAGAGATATAAACGTCTCATTCTAAGGTAACGAAAACACAATGATTCTCAGGTTTTCAGGTGATTATACAATAATCCGCCGGGACGTCCTTTGTCTGTCCAACAGCGTGGGAGAAGCAGTGATTTTTAAG